AGATTACAAATAAAATGCATTATTGTTATGTATATATGTATATTTTATTAATGTAACTCATGTAATAATTATATTTGAATATTATTTAGAGATGTAAACAAAACTACTGTAAAGTGAAAAAATATGAAATATAAGGATTTTTATAATTATATATTAACACTGAGAGCACCTTCTTCTTGTGCAACTGCGTATTTTTTCTGATTCATGTGTAAGAAAATAATTTGATTTACCGCAATATCATTTGAGGCAATGGAGCATCTTTTTTCAGAAATTACGTTGCGGGCACAAGAGAAAACCCGTTCTGAAGGTGCGCTACTTGCTGGTATTGCTGAGATTCGGCAGCTCAATTTGTGTAAAAAGGGGAACTCGTTCTTATGCGAATCCCACCACTTAAGTGTGTCGAAATCATCAAAAAAGGACACTTCTGTGTTTTCGTATCGTCTCAACTCTGAGGCCACTAAATCGTCGTTGGTTTGAAAATCAGATGATCGAATAAAATCTGAAAACAGCTCTAAATTTTTCGATGAGATTGAGGCTACTGACAGTTGTTGTGATTCTGTTATAGGCTCACAATTCTGTACTAGGCTTTGTATCAACTCGATACATTTTAATTTTATAAGATTTCGATCTTCTTCAGAAAAACTTAGCAATTTGTTTGCAGGGGGGAACAGGAATAGTGCAACTCGATGCCAGATGGACAAATTAGAAAAAACGACAGTTTCCAAGTAGTGCCTAAGCTTGCTTTTCAAAGCCTGGGCGATACTTATATCCTCGTTGTTTCCAGCGCATTTCTTTTGAAGGCTGTTTACATAAATGTAGACCAAATGAATTGTTGGATATTTCTCTCCCTCTAGTATCTTCGAGGCTTCTTCAAAGGGTTGAATTATATCCAACACAGCAGTTATATTTCTTAAATCAATATTCTGTATACGATGGATTTCATGCCTTTCTTGTAATATGAAAACAACTTCGTCCCAACTGCTTTTTAATGACGGCAACATATAATAGAAAGTATTCCATCTTGATGGACAAAAGCTTTTTAAGGACTTTGTTATATTTGAATTTATCCCAGACGTTTTAAAGTACCTCACTATCTTGGTGGCTACATCGCAAATAAATTTTACTTCTGGGACTGCATCTATGGATTTCTGAATAACATTATTCAGTAGATGGTTAATACAATATATATGGGCAGCGCTGCGAAAAGCAGCAACCATATTTGATCCTCTGTCCGTCACGACGGTAACATTTTCAGTGAATACACAATCAAATTCGCTAAGTATGTTACAAGCTTTGCAGTATATGTTATCACCTAAAGGATTTCGGAATAATTGATAAAAAATCAGTGGCCATTAAAATTTTATAATGGTATATACAACTCACTAGTACATTTTTCGCCATTCATGCTGCGTATTCCCAACAAAACGTTATTCAATTGTGTATCTTTTATATAATGCATTGTTATTGCCAAAAATGATTTGTGTAAATAGCTGTCCGTCCACAAATCGGTGGTTAGAGCGAACCCAATGTCCTTGACTTTAGTGATGTCGGATTTTATCTCAGAAAATGCTACATCGTAAAGCTTACAAACATTTCTTCCTACTGTTGTTGAGTGTGGAAGTAATGATTTTACATTGACGTGCTTACCATATTTTGAACCGATGGACAAAACGAAGCTAACAAGTTCATGAAGACCGGAATCTTCCACCAATGTAAAAGGTCTGCAGTTTTCAATAATTCATTTGGTAAATGTATACAATGCTTTCCTTTTTGTGTCACTATCCACTAAAACGTTGTGTACGTTATCCCGATCTTTTGTGGCGATGTAGCATTTATGTCTTACCAAGTTTGTAGTAGATCTACTGTTATGTTTATACACGCTAAAGCAAAATCGACACGCGACTACATTTAACAATTCTTCACCTGAGTCGTTTATAATCATTCCAAATGTTTTCCATACGTTACTACGTCCAGTTTTATTACTTAATTTATATTCTTGGTTAATTATTTTTGTTTTTATTATCTCATGGCTCAACAAGCTAGTTACACTGGAAACGGATGCTGGGCTATCAACGGCGCCGCTAGAATTCTGTTCCAATTTACAATAAAATATAATATAAATTAAACATTTATCATACGGTTTAGTATTTATTAATTAGATATACCTCATTGTTGTCCATTTTTAAATTAATTTGCGATATCATGTTTTTTTATTATATTTCTTTTTAAATTATTTTTCTTTTGGCATTTAAAACTCGATTCACTCGATTCAAAATATTTATTTTGTATTCTTTTAATATACGTAAGTTGTTAACTTACTCGATTTGAATGTAGACGTACACTTACACAAAAATACTCGCAATGATTGAGTCAAACAAAAATTTGAATTATTAAAATCAAATGTACACACTCTTTGTAAATAATATTCAAAATAAACAAGTAAGAAATTATAGTCGGGCGTGGCCGACCATATGATACCCTACACCAGTTATGAATATTAAATGTGATTTATTTTTCATAATAAAGCATTTATCTTCAATATTCCCTTGTTCCGATACATTTAAGCAATTTATAGATGAAAAACTAATTTTCTGAAAGAGGCTTTATATGGGGGCTAGGGGCAAATATGGACCAAGCCCGAAAAAATTTTGTGAATATATTTATATTGACATAATATTTTATTGTGCTGAATTTCATCGCGATATTTGTGTTTATAAGCTAATTTGGGACATTCAAGTAATTTTCTGAAGGGGACTTTGTATGGGAGCTAGGGTCAAATGTGGCCCGATCTTTATGAAATTTGGCAGGGTCATCAAGACTTCTATAAAACTTAGTTGTGCCGTATTTTATCGATATATCTGTATATTTATCGATATATCTGTATATCTGTATCAGAAGCCCTTTTCGGTTGGTTCTGTTGTATGGGGGCTAGGTGAAATAATGGACCGATTTTAACCATTTTCAATAGGCTTCGTCCTTAGGTCAAATAAAACGTGCGTGCCAAATTTCATCCAATTATCTTGAAAATTGCGACCTGTACCTTGCGCACAAGGTTTACATGGACAGCCAGCCAGACGGACGGACATTGCTTAATCGACTCAGAAAACGATTCTAAGCCGATTGGTATACTTTAAGGTGGGTCTGGGACGAATATTTTTGTATGTTACAAACATCAGCACAAATCCAATATACCCTCCCCACTAAAGTGGTGTAGGGTATAAAAATGAGTTGAGTGCAATGCAGTGGATTACTCATTGTGGGTGACAAATAGAGTCACTCATGCAGGGCTCTAGTATTTGTACATTGTAAAAAGTTGTTCATAAACAAAATAAAATATTTTGCGTGCAAATACACCTTTAATACATTAATAAATTATTTCAATATTTTTTTTTTTCAATAAAGCGTGGAAAAATAAAATGTAATTTCATGAAAAATTAAATATTTTTAAAAACAATTATTTTTGACCATCCATATTTTTTATAAAAAAAATAACTTTCCCAATTAACATCAAACATTTTGCTATGTGTATTAAAAGAGAACATAACATGCATTAAAGTTTTCATTTCACATAAACACAGACACACCAATACATGCAAGCTTATTGTGTACGTGTGCCAACGAAGGGTCAGCTAAATTTTCAGGCCTATACACGTGAGCATTCGAATGGCAATTCTGCTCTTGACTGATATAGATAGATTGTGTTTAGACTACGAAATCTTCACAGATTGATCATATTACTTGTGGAATAATGTAAAAGGGGCTTAAGCGACAAAAAGTTATTAAAGAAAAATTTCTAAGCTTGCTTTTGAGTCAAAAATAAAAAGGACCAAAATTGGAAAAAAAAATAAAAAAAAACTTTAATTTTGCAAAACAAAAGTCCATAATAGCTATCAAAAATATTTGAAAAAAAATTTGCTACGAACAATATGTTTGTGAAGCAGTTTTGTTTCCATACGGGTTCTGCTCAATCTGTCCAAGTTCTTTAAAGATCTATTAAGCTTCTGATGTAGTTTTCCTTCGCCTATTGTTAAGTATGGAGGAGTTAAATATATCAACTCTCTATTCGGTTGACTATGACGTATTGGCTGTGTCTAAGGAATACACTCCGACGAGATAAATGCTTCGGCTCTCGGTCGGCTAACGACTATAGATGCAATCCGATGAGATAAATTCTTTGGCTCTCGTGACTAACTATAACTAGCTAAGCAATACAATCCGACGAGATAAATGCTTCGACCCTCGGTCGGCTAGCTACTATACAATCCGATGAGATAAATTATTCGGCTCTCGTCGGCTAATTGTGACTCTTTAAGGAATACAATCCGAAGAGATAAATGCTAATAAACGGAAAACAATCCGACGACATAAATGCTTCGGTCGGCTAACTACTATTAATAGGATAATACGAATATTTTACAAATGGTTGAGATAAATGCTTCAGCTCTCAATCGGTTAACTACGGTTTATTAGTTAAGACTATCTATGTATTATTATCCGGCGAGATAAATGCTTCGGCACTCGGTCGGATAACTACTGGCTTCGGTTACGGTATTAGTATGAAGTAAGAACTTCGGCCTAATTACGATTTGCTGCCCGGGAACTTAATCGGTACTTCGGCTCTTGCTTCCTTTGCCCATAAATTCTTTGATCTCTTGTACAAAAATTCAACAAATATGGGAATTATTCAACAGTAATAATTTACAGTAAACATTTACTATTATAATAGGAAATTATTAATTATGGTAATTAGAATGTGATTAGGGATATATGTTAGTATTTGTAACTGCACGTTACAGTAGATGAAAAGAAACACATATTTAGCAAAAATGTCAAAGTTGGGCCCACTTTAACTCAAAAAATTCTTGTTGAAAAATTTTATCTAAACTACTATCCAATAGGACTAAACTGCTATCCAATAGAAGTAACAACAAATCCCCCATAAATATACTTTGACTGCTATCAGATATCTTAAATGAAATAAATGCTCAAAATTGTTAATATTTAATTTTTTTTACAATACCGCTTATTTATTTTTTGAATATATAATAAATTGATTGATCATCTTGATTTAAACTTAATTAATTTAACTATGTAACTAAAATTTGAATTAACATATTTTAGTGGGATTTCCGTCGCGAATATATTCTTCAAAATTTTTGTCATCTTTCACAGCGGGATCAAAGTCATTTATTATTTGTGGCAGTATTGGATTATCCAACATGGAGGAATGGCTGCCTTCGATTACCTTCATTATGACCTTTCCACTAGTAATTCGAGTAAGACAATAATCTTCTTCAATGTCTTGAAGTGCAACTTCAGCTGGACGAATTAAGGTTATTGGAGTTTTCAGTTCCTCAATATTGTTTAGATCGTAGTGAGCGGCCATTTTTATACGTCTGAACATTGCATTGACCATGGTAGCAGAGTACTCTTTGCTGTAAAGGTCTTGTTTAGCAACATATTCCATAAACTTCTCTAACTTGCCCTCTAAGGTAGGAATTTTATGGAATACCAATCCAGTTGTTTCTTTCGTTTCCTCTGGGAAGATAAGGCTTGAAATAAGGGATAGTAATAAATCGTACAATTCATTATCCGTGAAGTCTTCACCCAATTGAAGGCGTGTAAGTTTAGTTAGGAAGTGAGGAGCACCATCAATGAGCAACAGTTGACCCCTATATCCGGCCTTTTCAAGAAGGGCAACCAATTGAATAGCAACATACGTACCGAACGAGTAGCCGATAATGTAAAATGGTTGAGAGGCAGTTAAAACGGATTTAACATGTTCAAAGGCTGCTTCTGCAATTGCTTTTACAGTTGTCATCTCTGCAAAACTATGCAGTTGTAAAACATTAGCTCTACTTATTATTTGACTTCCGATCTTGTACCATGCTTGACCAGCAGTACCTTCCAAGCCCGGTATGAAAATTGTTGGAGGCATATTGATTTTGGATGAATCTGCAGCTGTGTTTAATTGCACTAAGATCTCGTCGCAACAAGCTTCATCACCGAGATTACGCAACAACAGCTCCATTGCCTGTTCTTTTCCTTCAGAAGCAAAAATCATTTTTACTACATCCGTGTTCTCACGTTCACGTGCATCAGCAAACTCTTGTAGTTTCTGGAATGTTAAAGAGCGTAAGTCTTGTGGTGTTAGTACGAGTTCAAAATCTCGCTCCAATGTCTGTTTAATTTCCACTGCCATCAAGGAGTCCATTCCCATTTCAGATAAAGTAGTTCCTAATGAAACTGACTTAAGATCTCGAATTCCCATAATATTCATTACCGTTTCAACAATGCTCTCGTTACCCGATCGTCCTGCCCGTTTTTCGGCTACGACCATACTTGCTACAATGGCATCTGGGACAGACAAGAGTTTGTCTAATTCTTGCAAACACGATGAAATACGTTGCTGTAAAGTACCACCGATTTCCATATCAATTTTGTCTTCGGCCATATCAGCGACAAGCCCAACCTCTCCCACAGCACCCCATTGCACAGCTTTAGCTGGATAACCATTTGCAACACGATCTTCTACTATTCTTTCCATTATAGAATTAGCCATACCATAATTAGTTTGACCAGCATTTCCGCGACCACATGACACACTGGAGAAAATAACAAAATGCTTCAGTTTGGGGCATTTCTGACGGGATAATTCATCCAAATATTTCGTAGCAATGGCTTTCGGAGCAAAGCTCTCTATAAATGATTCTTTTGTCAAATTTGTAAAAATTCCATCACGCAATACGACAGCCAAATTGAAAATTCCGCCAACTGGAGCCATTTCTTCTGCTTCTTCCAATAATTTTTTGCAGCCTTCATATGATGTAATATCACTGGTACTAACCTTTATTGAGCATCCATATGTCTTCCACAATCTGAAAAAGTTTTGTTTAAATACAGAATTTTTTATATGAAAAAAGTAACTTACGCAATCCGATAGGATTGATAGTCTTTTGTAATTCCTCTACTTGAGCTTAATACAATATTTTTAGCTCCGCGTATGACCATCCAATCTGCTAACTCTAGTCCAAAACCTCCTAAACCTCCGGGTATTACATAGCTCAAGTCTTCTTTAAAATAGACTTGTTTCAATGCCGTAACTGGTATTGTCTTTTCAGATTCAACATCTTCGCGAACTTGAATGATTACCTTTCCTATGTGTTTGCCTCCTACTAAGAAACGGAAAGCTTGTTCTATCTGGGGAGCTTGGAACACATTTGCAGGCAATGGTTGGATAATGCCCTTTGCTATGTCGACTTCGATAATATGTTTTAAGTGCTACGGATTTTACATAAAATAAGTAGTTGAATTAATTTGACTTACTTCCGTAGTTATTATACTTACATCGATTTCTTCATCAGACGCATTTACCAAACGATCAGCCAAAACGGCATGGAAAGTTAGTTCCTTAAGGAAACAACTCATACCAAGCTTGCTATCATTGGCCATGTCAAATTTACCGATTTCGAGGAAATGACCACACATGCCCAAGCAACGTACAGATGCAAATAACTTGTCTTCAGCAAGTGAATTCAACACAAAATCTACACCCTTGCCATTCGTTTCACGAGAAATCATATGCTCAAATGAAGTGTCTCGTGAATTTCCAATGTGAGACTCTGAAAATGGATAAAGATAATTATAGTGTTATGAATTTGCTAATTCAATCATTGTTTATACCTTTCAATTGAGGGAATGTTTCAAGAAGGAATTTCTTCTTCTGCGGTGTGCTACAAGTAGTGAATACTTCCATATTGTAAGCCAATGCTGTGCGTATAGCTGCCAAACCAACACCACCAGTTCCGGCATGAATGAGAATGCTTTTTCCTTTACGTATATCGGAACACACAAAGAAAGCGTAGTAAACGGTGATATAAACTGCAGGCACCGTAGCTGCTTCTTTCAATGACCAATGATCAGGTACTGTGAATATTAACTTGGAAGGTTTTTCGATATACGAAGCAACGCCACTCCTTGCAACCATACTCATTACCCGACGTCCAGTCTTTGTTTCAATACCTGAAAACTCAATGCCCAATAGACAAGATTGATGAATTCTGCTGGAACTGTACAACTCAACACCTAAACGACCAGTGGCCAGCATTACATCACGGAAATTGACTGATGAATACACAACCTTAATGGGACACTCTTTGGCATCAAATGGTCCCTCAAACCAGCGGAAAGACGACAAGTCTCCACGCTGCATAACATTGCCATACACATGATCTCCTCGAGCAATGCATTTTTCGTCGGTTTTAAGTTGCAAATGACGGTATGTACCCCATTTTCCCTAAATAAATGTAAACGACCTTTAATATGTATGACTTTAAAGATAAGAGTGTTTCTACGATACTTACATTTTTATAAACATTGATAGCCAGCCTTAACGCATACTGATTTCCATAGAATGGATCACTGAGGCTGAATGGGGGTGCATTTAAATCATCAATAAAGAAGCCTGTAACTAAGTTGCCATCTGGTTCTTTTCTCAAACAGTTCACTAGGCCAATGAGACCGTTTAGTTTTTCATTAAAAGCATAAAGAACAACAGGTGTTTTGTTGGTAATGGCATGCTGAACTTGTGACAACCATTCGAAATCATGGTCGGATTCGCTAACCTCTATTACCAATGGTTCGAGATTGAAATTTTTCTTTGTTTTTTGCAACAGCAAAATAACTTCTTCATTGTTCTCAAGAGGCATAACCGCCAACATCTTGAAATTTTCTGGAATAACCAAGTTTTCTATATTTGAGGTAGTGCGCTCGCGAACAACTAAATATCCATTATCCAACAATGATTTATTGGCTGCTTTAATTGTTTCCTCGTTCATCTGTCCACCTAAACCGCCGACAATAATAAAGTGACAGTTCGATTGTGTGGAAAGTTTGCCATTTTCAACATGTATGGCAGCTGGCATGTCAGTGATCGCCTGACTAGAAAGGAACATATAATCTCCTGTTATTACGGGTAAATCTTCCACTGAATCTAAAAAGTTTGATATAATAGGCAATCGTCCATCTGTGTCGACCTCGACAATTTTCATTTTTAATGTTGGTACATTCTCTAAAGCCAACTGAACACAAATACGTGCCGCATCGGCTTCACTCACTACAGGGGAGGGGAAATGAGGTAAAAAGTTGTATTTTTCCAATACTGGAACTCCTGGAGGCTTACGACGTTGAACAGGACTAGCATGAAGACCTATTAATTCAATTCCACCAGCAACAATCCTATTTGAATCATGATCAACGTATACGTCAAACACTCGATTCTCGGGATCCATGGTAGTCATTATATTAAAGTGATGAAGACCATAAATACGTAATTTACGAATTTGAGTAGGTAATAAAAGGCTTCTGGCATCAGTTCCTAATATATGTATTTGTAACATGGCATCCATAAATGTAACCCAATTATATTTCCATTCAACTTTGCCATAGAGTCCATCACCTCGCGCCTCCTGCACAGCTTGGAAAGTGCCGTTATAGTGATAACCACGCAACTTTAACTCCTTATAAAAGTCCTTCTTTGAGACCATTGGGAATTCTGAGGTTTCCTTAAAGTTGGGCACTTTTGGAATTGTTGGATTTTCTATTTCTGAAATCCTTCCTGTTACTACCAAAGCTCCTGATTCAGTAATCTGTGGCGAAAAAAAGAATGAAAAGATGTAGTCAAGTATTGATTATTATATTACTGTCTATCCCCACCTCAAAGTTTCCAGTTCCATAGTGTATCATAACTGTTAAATCTACGCTAGTCTTTGCATTTATATTTGTTGCTCTCAAAAACTTAACATCTTCAAATTCAACTGGTACATCCATAAAACTGGGTCCATGATACATAAGAGAAAACGTTTCCCATACATACTGAAGATAGCAAGTAGCGGGAACCAATATTTTTCCATCAATTACATGGCCAGTCATGTATTCCTCATCATCGCTACCCAGATTAACAGTGAAAACTCGTTCTCCACTTGATTTTGTCTTCATGTTTTCGTATTTTGTTATAAACCAGTCTTCCTTATGATCCCATCGTATTAAAGAACTAATACCGGGTGTACCCCGAGAGACTGGAAATTCTACTTTTGGATAAAGATTTTGGACTGGAAAGTTAATTCCACTTGTAAAAAGTCTGCAAAAATTTAATATATAACATTTCAATATTTTTTGGTGATAATGCTTGTTATTAAAATAATCTTACTTTCCGAGAGCTGTTAAGAAGAAAAGTCCATTATTTTTATTTCCACGTTGAGTAAGTGGAATGTGGATACCACCAGGCATTGAACGTTTTAAAATTGCTTGTAAAAGACCATGAGGAGCGATTTCAATAGTTAAAGCATTTTTTGGCAAGAGGGCGAATGTTTCCTCAAAGAGAACGCTGCTTAATAAGTTGTTTGTATGATACTCCGCGGAGCATAAATTGCGCCCAGGTTGATCCCATTCATTTTTAGGAACACTGGAGCTTAGCCATTTCGTTGATCTTTGTTTTGGGTTGGGAATAGTTTGTTGCAAATATTTTAACAGTTGTGGTCCCATATGTGCTATATATCGGGAATGGTAAGCAATATTTGAGCATGGAACCTCTTTGGCAAAAATATCCTTGGACTTTAGCTCAGATACAAAGTTGGCTACATCGTCAGCAGGTCCCGAAATTGTACATGAATCGGCGCCATTATGGCAGGCTACTTCAATTGTACTTGGGAGCATATTAACAATTTTTTTGAAACCAATGCCAACAGCAGCCATAGATCCTTTGATTTTTTCTATTTCTAAACTGACTTTTCCACGATAGTAAGAAGCCAGAATCATTTGTTCAGGAGTAAAACCACCGTCGGCATAGCCGCAGCCAAGTTCGCCCACCGAATGTCCAATAATATAATCTGGTTCCAAGTTAAGTGATCTCAAAACGTCCACCAAACCAATTTGAATGGCAGCAATACCAACAAATGAGTGCAAAATGTTATCAAAAACTGTGGGATCATCCGATGTCAATATATGAATGAGATCGAGGCCCTTTGGTAAAAGAGCTGCATGACAGCGTTCGATTGATTGTCGAAATTGAGGAATAATCATTAGGGATGTACCCATTTGTGACCATTGCGAGCCCATACCACTGAAGACCCAAACAATAGGCCTTTTTATACCAGTATAATGCTGAACATCTCTTACCAAAACTGTGGCCGGTTCTTCTTGACCGTTTTTACTACAAATACCAAAACCACGAAAAACCAAGCCAGAAACTTCATCATTTTGTATGTTTTGCAAAAGAGCTATAAATTCTGCATCCAAAGGACGTTTTTCAATGGCATCCAGAATTGTGTTTACAGATTGCTCATTTCTACCAGCCCAAGTTACTAAACGTGGTATATCGTCTTCCGGTACACCATTATTAATCTTGGTTTTCTCAAAGGCCTTCAATAAGGCATGAGCATTGGCGCCACCAAAACCGAATGAATTTATACCAATATATGGTTTTTCCAAGTCCATAACATCCTTCACCACAACTAACCTTCCTTCTGCCAATGCAGAAATTTCTGGTTTGATTTCTTCAAAATTAATGTTAGGAGGAATCTTTCCATTTTCAAAAGCAAAACATGCCTTTATTAATGAATTGACTCCCGAAGCAGCTTCAGAATGACCAACATTCGACTTAACAGAACCTACTAATAACGGTGAGGTTCGTTGACTGCATAGCACATTGTCAATAGCACGGCATTCTTCAGGATCTCCAACTACTGTTCCGGTACTATGTGCTTCCAAATAGCCCAAGTCGTCGGGACTTACGTTAACTTCATTGTAAAATTCACTTAACAACTGTTCTTGTAACTTTCCAGATGGATAAGTAATGCCCTCGGGTTTAAAACCATCGCAATTAGTCTTTGAGTATACGACAGTTGCATATACACGCTTGGCATTACGCTTGCGCTGCAGGAACATACAATTAATGGCTTCCGAACGAGTATAACCGCTAGCATCTTTATCGAAAGGACGACAGAAACCGTCAGCAGCTAAAACACCAAGTCTGTGCGAAATTAAAATGTTAAAACTGTTTTAAAAATCTTAATATTAGTCGACTGACCTGGCAAACTGCAGTGTCACAAAAGGATGCAATAACAGATTTGCTCCTCCAATTATAGCAGCATCGATTTCACCATTACGCAGTGCGGTAAAAGCATTATCCAGGGCATACATTGAACTTGAACAGGCAGTGTCCACAAGAAATGAGGGACCTTGCAGGCCAAGTGCATAAGAAATTCGATTAGCCAACATAGCACGACTGCATCCAGTTATACCAAAACCACCAGACGATACCTTTTCATAAAACCATGTTTTTTCTGATTCCGAAATACATGAACCAATATAGACTCCAGTTTTAGTACCTCTCAAACTTTTGGGATTGATGCCAGCGTCAATGACTGCTTCATAAGCCGTCTCCATTAATATACGTGTTTGAGGATCCATAGTATGGGCCTGTTTAAAGTGCACGCCAAAGAAAGTGGCATCGAATTTCTCAAGTTCATAAATTTTACCAGATCTCTTAGGAATTTCTGGATTAAAGTGACGCCAACGGCGTTCGTCATCGTCAACCATATCAATCTATTCAAAATTTAATACATATATGTATATTAATTTTTTTAATTTATATTTTATTAATTTATTAATTAATGAAATTAAAAGTTATCGTCATTGTCGCTCATCTCATCGAGTATATAGCTTGAGACACGATAACGTACAGGTTGCTGTCTATCAGCTAATACATAATTTTTTATTTCCTGAAGGCAACACCGATGCAAATGTCTTCAATAACAATCTGCCCAACCCGGTAGCCAAATTTTAAGTTTTATCCTTAAGACCGCATTTGGTCGTAGCTATTAATGGAGAAAAAAGGGGAGTTTGTATGAGACTAGGGTCAAATGAGACCCGATAGTTATGAAAATCGGCAGTACCATTTATACTTATATAAAATTAGTTGTGCCGATTTTTTAAAAAGATGCTAGTATATTTGAAATAATTTTTAGCTAACAAACAAAATCGGAAGGTGCCGTTGTATGGGGGTTAGGTGAAATAATGGGCAAATTTTCAATAGTCTTCGTCCTTGGTGCCAAATTTCATCAAATAATACAAGGGATTACGGAGGGACGGATATAGCTAAATCGATTCAGAAAATTATACTGAGCTGATTGGTATAATTTAAGGTTGAACCAATATTTCTATGTATTACATACATACATCAGCATAACTCCAATGTACTCTCTACACTAAAGCGGTGTAGAGTATAAAAAGAACATTGCATGGATTTAGCCTATGAGCAGCATCGGTATGATATTTTATTATATTCAACATTGGATTTAAGATTATTAAACTATAATTGAAATTAAATAATTAATTCCACTGCAGTAAACAATATATACTTATGTATGTATATCACTCATTTCCGACAAATTGGAGATTATTTTGTTTTTTTTTTTAAGATTTTGATATATTTTAATTAATTTTAACGTGCGTATATTGAATAAGAATATTTCTTTTCTGAAAATAAAATGTTTTTGTTTTTTGTTCACTACACACACACACACACACCTTATTGTAAAGATTATATTCATATTCAGCAGTATTATGACAATTTGGAAATTTTCCAGAGATACCAGAAATTACAATATCATCTCCTTCAGTTTCCGGAAAGATTCTAGAGTATTTTTTATATTTTTTTTCACTGCCGGATGTTGAAGAGATATTCTCTGATGTTTCATTGTTGTTTGACATGATTCACTATTTAATTTTTAATATTTGCAGGTCTTTCTTTTTTAATGTATTATATATTTTAATATATTTTGGGGTTTTATTATGATTTTTTAGTTTTTAAGCAGACGATTGTGAAGTGGTACGCGTAATCCAAATAAAGCGAATTAAATCCTGTATTATCGAACGAATTGCCAATCGAATTGCAATTGATTCCATGCCGAAATCGGGGCTACTTTTATAATTTGATTTTTCCTCATTAAAAATTCCAACAAGTGTCGGCCTTTCAATACATTTTAATTACAATTTAACAACGCCGACCAGTAAATAGAAATCATCCAATATATTGTATAATAATTAAGAAGCCATTCTATAATTTATGTAGAAAAAACCCAATGTACAGTGGTTTGGTGGGTTTCAATTTCGTAATTTTAGATTTATGCTCGTAGTAAGTGTTGACATTAAATTACTTTATTGTATACCAACTCTTAGAGTATTCATTCAATTAGTCATCTCAATTTATTGAAAATTAAAAAAAGATCTTACTAAATATTTATTTATGGAATTTATTTACATTTTGCGGACAAAAATTAGAAAAGTTTCCTTAATATTTAGCATAACATAAAGAATTTCCTCAACTTTTTATTTCACTGTTCTTAGCAAAATTTTGACCAAAAAAGTGAAACAAATCGGTAATTTATAAATGATAAGCTTGGTTTTAATTTAACTTCACATGACATGAGACGTACATATTCGTACGTACAATTTTGTGTCAAGTGCCCAAATTGTGAAATCGATCTCTTCCGATTTGGATGAAATTTGCACCAAGGCCTTGGCCAGAATTTACCACCGTGCAAGGTTAAAAAATATCTATCTAAACTCTTTTGTACAATTTTTGCTAGGACCAATAGGTGAAAAGTGACACTCATTTGGAAAAAATCCTTTTGTATGGAGAGCAAAATATCGTCTTGTGGTAGGCGATATTGTGGTTGAGATAGATTCTATCAGGGATGGCAAATGGTATTTTCAAATTGTACAAAACAGCATTTTAAATTGTACTTTTTTGAATCCGATTGTACCAAATCTATATTTTTGCAAATTTATATCAATATAAAAGCATTTCAAGCAAGTCCATTAGTCAATGTACTAGTCCATTGGCTAGGCAATAGGCTATTCTATAGACTAGACGGTAGTCTATAAACTAGACAATAAACTAGTACCTATATAGAGTAGTTTTTATACTAGTCCAAAGACTGATTAATAGAATAGTCCGTAGAAATACTTTTAAAAGTTAAAGTACTTTAAAAACTATAGATTAGTCATTATATTAGTCAATAACGATCGAGTCAGTAGCGATCGAATACAAAATAATCATAAAAATTACTCTCTTTGGTAAATGTTATTCCTGGTTGTCTGGTTGTAGTCTCTTTCAAGATTCTTTACAATATTAGAGAATATAAAGAAGAATTGTAAATGTCCTATTCTGAAGTTTATTAAAAATTTGACCGAAGTCGGTTGTTCTTTGAACTTTGTGTTAAAAGTACAATTTTAAATTATTATTTCAATAAGGGAATAAATTTAACATTGTACAAAATGGGTCATCGGTGTACCATTGTACTTTTAAAGATCGAATTGTACCAAAAAAAAGTACAATTGTACCAATTTTGCCAATTCTGGATTCTATCTAATTTTTATTGCGCTCTCTGGTGATCCTCTCATTTTCATGTTGTAGCGTTGCCTTATGTTCATAATATTTTGCTAAAAATCTTGCAAAATTGCAAAAACAGTGTTGTTATAATGCGCATTTTTCGCCATGTGTTATTATTAACAGAAGATATTAAATGAAAATAATAACAATTAAAATGCGAAAACATTTTGTTTTGTTTCTTTTATTTTATTCTGAATAATTTTTTAACCATTTCTATTTATTTCTTAAAAAACAATTCTAATTTTAAACAAAAACATCATTCTGCTTTGATTTTTTCTAATAAACGTCAGAAAATGTGGGCTGTCGACAGTCGCTTAATTTAAATTCGTCGCTCTTTTTTTTTGTGGTTTGTCGACAGCGGTTCCAATTGTAATTAAGCTGTAACTCCGAGAATACTATCCAATAGCAAATTTCATCCAAATCGATTTTTTGAGCTGGGTCACTTGACACGAAATTGCCCATAAGTTTAATATGTTTTATGCAAGAACACTTAACTTATGAAGCTTTATGTTGTTATTGTTTTGTTATTACCAAAGTCAACGATAGTCAGGGAAGAATAAATTAAAAAAAACAAGTAAGAAATTATAGTCGGGCGTGGCCGACCATATGATACCCTACACCAGTTATGAATATTAAATGTGATTTATTTTTCATAATAAAGCATTTATCTTCAATATTCCCTTGTTCCGATACATTTAAGCAATTTATGGATGAAAAACCAATTTTCTGAAAGAGGCTTTATATGGGGGCTAGGGGCAAATATGGACCAAGCCCGAAAAAATTTTGTGAATATATTTATATTGACATAATATTTTATTTTGCTGAATTTCATCGCGATATTTGTGTTTATAAGCTAATTTGGGACATTCAAGTAATTTTCTGAAGGGGACTTTGTATGGGAGCTAGGGTCAAATGTGGCCCGATCTTTATGAAATTTGGCAGGGTCATCAAGACTTCTATAAAACTTAGTTGTGCCGTATTTTATCGATATATCTGTATATTTAACATAATTATGAGCTCAGAAGCCCTTTTCGGGGGGTTCTGTTGTATGGGGGCTAGGTGAAATAATGGACCGATTTTAACCATTTTCAATAGGCTTCGTCCTTAGGTCAAATAAAACGTGCGTGCCAAATTTCATCCAATTATCTTGAAAATTGCGACCTGTACCTTGCGCACAAGGTTTACATGGCCAGCCAGCCAGCCAGACGGACGGACGGACGGACGGACATTGCTTAATCGACTCAGAAAACGATTCTAAGCCGATTGGTATACTTTAAGGTGGGTCTGGGACGAATATTTTTGTATGTTACAAACATCAGCACAAATCCAATATACCCTCCCCACTAAAGTGGTGTAGGGTATAAAAATTTAAAATTGTATGTATTGTATTCAAATAATATTCTTAAAATTAAAAAAAATTTGGTTTTTACTTTTGAAAATGTATTTTTAAATAAAATAATTTGTTTGTGTAAATTTTTTTTAAATATATTATATAATAAATATAAAATATATTTAGTTTAGTATTATATAATCCACTTCTCCGTCCGCTTATCTACTTTCTATGAGTTTTGTAGACTGGTATTAAAATTAACCTTCATTGAAAATAATTAGAAACCATTATTAATAGAGTAAAAATTGGTACTTTGTTCCAAAAACAATAACTTTTTCAGTTGAATACAGAAATTTTGTAAAATTAAAAATTAATCACAAAAATTAAAATTTATATTCATGAAAATGTATGAACCAAATCGTTTTAAGCAACAACAATAATAGAAAAAATAAATTATTTGTGTATAAAATCAATCATAGGTAGTACTTTAATATAGACAATAATTGAAAACGAGCTTTTGGTATTTGAAATAGCATTTGAAATTTTTCTGTGTATAAACTACTGTGTGTTGATTTCTCTGTCTATAGGCTTAAGTTATATCGAATTTTTCTTTTAAATAATTTTGTAAAATAAAACTTTTGATTTGTTTTAATTAAAAGTACAATGGACTTTGCAATTATTCAATAAATTAACAAAGAATTAATTGTTCATACAAAATTTTAAATTGCTATGGCCCTTCTTATTTACATTTGTTATTTTCTTGTTAAATGTTATATGTATTTTTTTGTCGTAAGCTTTCAATAAACGAATATCGTGTTTCTAACTAAATATCTTGTTTCTAACTAAATCGATCGATATATATATAAAATTCTAACGTTACTGACTAACTCACTGATTGATTCATCATCGCACAGGCTAAACGGTTGAAGCTAAAAAGCTTAAATTTAAACAGTAGATTGATATCTCCCCAAATGAATACAGTAAGATGAGAGCTTTGGAAATTCTAATAGTTTTATTTAAAATGTAGGAATTTAAGTTTTAATTATATTTTTTCTTCGATTATCCAAATTTTCACAACATTTAAAATTTATTTAATATATTACAGATTTAACTTACTTTATTAAGTAGTAAATTGAATTTTAAACAAACCCATATGAAATTGATTATTTTTTTTAGCTCTATCGGTCAAGAACTGCCGGAGTTAAAGGGGTTGAATGTTGGACATTTTGGTTATATAGAGTTTTTTTTAAATGAGTGTAACTTTTCACCTATTGGTCCCAAAAAAATTGTTCAAAGGAGTCTAGACTCTAGATAGCTATTTCTTCACTGCTTCCAAAAAAATTAATTTATTTTTATTTTTTTTATTTAATTTTGTCATGTTTTTTTAACAAAATTGATTCTCTTTTCTTTCTATAATTCAGAAGTGACTTAAAGGTATATTTTTAAGATGTGATTTAGTAATACTAATGGGGTGTAATTTGGAACTCTGGTGCAAGGAATATTTTTTGGTTTTTCGTTTTTCATATGGTACTTTTTGAGTTTTCTATTATATTGAACATAGAAAAATTAAAATCAACATGTAGAATTAAATGAGAAACTAAAACCGGGACTTTCTGATACTTATTCGTTTTTCGTTTGGTACTTTTTAATTTTCTATCATATTGAACATATAATTAAATTTCAGAGTGAATAGAAATCTGTAGGAATGAATTTTTCGTACTTTTAGTGCTACAAAAGGTACTTTTTGATTTTCTGTTATATAAAAAGTAAGTTTTAGTACTTGCTTGTTATTCGCCTGGTACTTTTTTATTATTTTTTTTTGTAATATTGAAATTAAACATGCAGGGGCCGAGTAATGGAAAATCTTTAGAAGGACTTTTTAATAATTTTTCGTTAGAGCAACGGTTCCCAAATGGGAACCGAAGAAGAACGAAAAAAAAAAACATAAATAAACACAGTATTCTGCTTTTATATGTACAAATATATCTAATTTTGTACAATAATCCCAGTTTTCTTGGTGACATTTTGAATTTTATTTTTTCGGTTGTTTATCAGGACGAAGCTAGGCCCTACAAATTTATTGGATCACTTTTCTAAAGTAAAAGTATTGTGTGATTTGTAATTTATATATGTATATGTAATGGTTTTTATTTCAGACGGAT